CACGATAAGGGACAAGAAGGTCAAGAAAGGGGGAAATTGCATAGTTGGGAGACAGGCGGACCTCCTGAGGGTGCTGACCGAACGCGCAATTGGCAGCGAAAGATTTGACCTCGGCGATCTAGCATAGGCTCACTCTTGGCGCGGTTGGCGGTGTACGCCCCACCGACCATCTAATCACTCGCCAGTCTATACGCGGAGAGTGATTAGATAGCAGAGAGAGCGTAGTGTTGAAGAGGGCACAGCGATGAGAGTCGCATCAATGCGCAAATCAACGGGCAAGGAAGGGGTCCCATTTCTCGGGTTCTGGGCCGTTTCTCATGGTTTTTCTTTCTTTCTTTCTCACCACTCCACTGACACCTCTGCCCTTATTTCCAGTGAGCCAACTCTACATCGTGAATTCTGCCTTTGAAGAGAAATGAACCAGAAAGGCTGGTGGAACTTGGAGGAATAGCGCAAAGAAAGAAACTTTCTTCTTCGCATCAATGCTTCATGAGCTCCTACTGCTTGAATTACACTGTTTGAGAGCGAGCTTCTCTGAAGAAGGAATTTTTGAGAAACTACGCTCCGTGGGCAGACCACAGGCAAATGGGCGAATCCGAAGCGGAGCTTCTTCTCACTCTTCTCTCACTCTTCCAAATTACCCGGAAAGCAATGCAGTCTTTCATTTCTCTCCGTTCGTATCTTGATGACAGCACCCAAGCCCTCGAATTGCAGGGGAGATAGAATCATACGGTGCCCGTGCACGAACCCTTAATAGTCACAACCAGTATGTGGTGAATGAAATGGTGCGAATAAGCCGAAAGGAGCAGGGTTGTAGGACGACGCAACAAAACGTGGTCTAAAAACAACGTTCTTGGAACGGAAGGCTCACGAGCTTCTCTGATCAGTGGCATACTCGCGTCTGACATGAGAAGGACCCACGCAAAAGCCTCGACCTAACCTCGTTTCTATGGAATAAGTAAACGATGACGACCAAGTTTTAATAGCCCTAGAAGGACAGCTTGAATTCTATTTCAACGTACTTGTAGTCGAGTGGACAGATGAACGACGCTTTCTTGAGACAGCTGTGAGCTTGTGCAAGCCGGCCCTTGGCCATCAAGCAGACGCCGATGTTGTTCCAGAGACAACCATTGTAGTCGCAAGCATCTACCGCAACCCTGGAACGCACCTGTTTTGCGATCACAAGTACAAAGAATGATATCACTTATCACAAGAATGATATCATGATAATCATATCAAGCGTGCTTAGCTGTGCGTGCACGACACTGGACCGAACACAGCGAATGCACCATTGACAAGGGAGGTCGTTCAGGGTGTGCCAAGCTTTTTCAAAATAGTTTCTTGCATGACATGAAGCACATGTGAGGAACCACAGAACCATGGTTCATTTTCCTAAACGGCCCCTGAATACCAAAAAAGGGGTGATAAAGTGGTCCGTGGTTCGATTCCTTGCGGTGACAAATTTTTGCATTTTGAGTTGGCGTTTCAGAATTTGCGCAAAGTGGCGCCAGCACCATTTTGGATGTCGTGTTCGTAATCGGAACCATCAGCAGGCAATTGCTAGGGATACGGTTACCGTATAGCGACGAGATTAATCTTGGGACGTTGATAATGTTTGAATGATATCGTGTGATCATGCTGGCCTCGGCTCGACTATTTCTGGGCCATGTCCCCGTACAATATTCAAGGAATCGTTTGAAAAGGTGTGGTCTGCCTTGAAAGACCCCTACCCTGTAGAATGTGTATTCGGACCCGGCGCAAATTTTGCTCCCAATGGAGTATGTTAGATATTTCACCCATTAACATGGCGCAGCTTGTTTTTCGTTGAGGGAAACTGATCTTGACCTTCAATTGTTGGGCCATGGGACTTGATAACCGTCTCTAATCTTTTGAGGGGGCGAAGTGGTGTAGTGGCAAGTGGCACGCTTACCACGCGAGCGGTCCGGGGATCAAATCCTGGGTCGTGAGTCGCCCGGGCCAACCAAGCCTTCCATCCCTCCGGGGTCGGTTAATTTGGTACCAGACTTGTCTGGGAGGATAAAAACACTGACTTGTACATCGGCTGGCCCCCGCAAGTCATTGTATAGGCCACATCGCATTCAAACGCCACTACGAATGTACAAATGGAAGTAGAATGCGTGCCGCATCCCAAAAAGGGATTGATCAACGGCAAATGCTTTATCCTTTATCTTTTTTAATCATTCCAGAATTTAACATCAAGCTTCAAATGTTCAGCTGTCGCCTCGCCCTAGCGCAGGGAAACAGCACTGAACGGTCTCATGGTCTTGTCTTAGTATGCTGAGTATTTAGTACTCTCATTATCACTCAATATCCACTTCGCCGGTCAACTAGAATTAGCCACGACCATGGATTATCCTACCTGTACTTGTTGAGCGCCACGTCGTGATCTCCATGCGCCTGCATGATTGAACCAGCTGCCAGAATACTCTAAATTCCGAGTACTTGATTACTGAGTTACTTATCTATTAATTATTTCAAAGGAAACGAACTTGTTGATGCGTTGATTGGTAGCTGAGCGCTTTCCCAAGCATTGCAAACGCGGGATCCTCGCTGTTGTTTCGCAGATATTGCATACCCATCTTTGAACATCACGTCCAAATTTTCAGGCTCGAGCTAAAATCGTGATAACTGCTCTCCTTTCCTTGGCAAAAACTATACTATAGGCAGAGGCAGGGTGCAGCGCCAAGTAGCGCCGCATATCACGCGCACGGTTGAATCCGACATTGAATGCCGTCTGGGCCAAGTAACTATCCCACTCCTAGTACGTAATCGGTCAGTTGTTACGAGGCTCAAAGTCAAAGTGGAGCAGGTCAAAGTGTCATCGGAAGTAAAAAGTGTGGGTCGAAGACAGGGAAACTTGCCTAGTGGGAGACAAGTAGATCTCCTAACGGTGCGGACCGACACGCAGTTCGCATCAAACGATATGGCCCCGGCGATCTAATATGGCCTTACCACGGCATAGCATGGTACGCCACACATTCACGCCGTTTCTTGTCTAATGAGCCTCTAGCGGTTGAACAGGGAAAGTATTAACGAAGGGCAGCACTGATGAGAATCTCGTCAATGCGCAAATCAACGGGCAAGGAAGGAGGTCTCCACTCGGGTTCTGGGCCATTTTTCATTGTTTTTTCTTCTTTTGCGCACCACTGACCATCTCTGACTCAGTTTCCAACGGGCTGCCTTTTATCGTGTAACTCGTCCTGAATATTCGGCGTGGTAGGGTTCCAGCAAAATCGAACTTAGAATCTTGCCGGGTTTCACCTGTTTCAAAATTACCATGATTCGAATTTACTACCATACAACACAGCACTAGAGAGATATCGGCTTTTTTGTGGAGAGGGGGGGGGGCTCTCTGGTTGTTACAAGGTTACAAGTTAGTCACAAGGTTGCAATAATGAGCACCTGAAGAGCTCTTTCGTAAGCTTGTATCGCAGCCGTTGTGTCACCCAGTTCAGAAACCAGCTTGGCGAGAAAGATGATTAGTTCGACTGATGATTGTAAACCTGGTGCCTGAAATATGCCTTGTTTTCTGAAATATTTATTTCCAATCCGCATCTCGCACATTCCTCATCGTCTCGCACCCCAGACTCTTACAGGGAGTGAACTTGATCATTCTGTAGAGAAATATGCATATGGAATAGGACAGCTGATCCAAAACGGTATGCTACCTTTTCGCGGTTTTAAGAGTGCTTGCCAAAAGCCGCATAGTTAGACCCTACATGTTGTAAAACCGGTAGAATGAAGCTGGGTGACGTCATTGTGCTGCGTTGGGCAGTTGCCAGACTTTACGGCGGTGGTGCTACTCGCTGGCAAAATCTGCTCTCGTGTCTTTCTTGTCATTTCATCGCATATTTCCGTCTGTTCAAGGATCTATTGAAACCCATTTGTGAACAAGAAACTCTAAGCTTATTTCTTTTTGTTCGCTGTGATTGTTCTTCATTGCCTATGACTACTGACTCTTGCCATTCTTCAACTGGAACAAATTCTTGCGCCCACTATCTCTGGAGCCTCTAACATCTACTATGTAATAGATATTATCAAACGCAGAGCGCTTACCTGAAGTAGCAAATCTCGCGCCTTTTCACACCGCCCCACAAGAGCTTCTCTGTTACGTTGAACTGCCACTAGATGTAGCGTGCAGAACCCCTGTTGATTTCAATTTCAGGACTGACGTACCTAGATGCAGTTATTTTACTAAATTCGAGAACTGGGCGATATTTGGACTCAATAAAAAGAACACCCTTAATCCTATCACATGTAGTGCCCAGAAAAGGAAAGGGAAATTTAGCCATTCGGAAAAAAGTGCGTATGACCGCACGCACACACTGTCCTCATAAACCACCTGAGGGAAGCTCTGACCCAACTAAAATAATCTATTTCTATTCAAAGCAACAACCCACCGAATTGGTGGAATAGAAGCGATCGATGATAAAAATGTGGATGAAGAACTGACTAAAAATGAAAAAAGCACCAAGGTAAACAGCCAATAAAACCATTTACGAGTAGTTCCCTCTTCTCCTCCTTGTAACAAGGAAGGGGCGGAACCGGACGAGTTGTCTGAAATTTTGCTCCACGCTCCCACCCGCGCGCATGTGAGTTAGTCGCTACTACGCTACAGCTACTGCTCCGGTACTGCTGAAGACGCTCAGCATGTCCAAGTGGAAGTTAGCGAGTACCGGAGAAAAATGATTTTATAATAGGAAGAATAAGGGAGTGCCTGTCTCTCCGATAAGCCAATCAATGTTTTTGAGTAGTGATCAACTCGGCTATCACCCGACATTCCCAACCATTAGAGGAATTTCTTCAGTCTCCCTTCTAGCCAAATGAAAGTCGAAGTGTTGAAGGACCTCATCGATTGAGATCTAGGCGCGGTATCATCAAATGTGAAGAAATTTGCTCTCAATTCACTGTCATGAGAAGAACTTATCGGCAGGGTTTTACGCCTATCAGGTAGGTTGTCTTGAAAGCACAAGGTCCAGAAATGTGTATGAAACCTAAAAATAGGAAGAACAGGCGCAAGGGGTGGTCGACCGTACGCATAGAATACCCTACACTGCACAAGAAGAGCGTCTGGGTGAATTCACGCGTCGAATGTCAAAGCGCCTTTGAAAACAGCATTCAACCTCTAAACGAATAGTGCCTAAAGAAATGAGTATGGTCAAGGACGTATGGTTTTGGATGCCTCATTCATGTACTAAGGGCGTAAATGGTGTAGTGGTGAGTCGCCCGGGCCAACCAAGCCTTCCATCCCTCCGGGTCGGTTAATTGGTACCAGACTTGTCTGGGAGGATAAAAACACTGACTTGTACATCGGCTGGCCCCCGCAAGTCATTGTATAGGCCACATCGCATTCA